ATGACATTATGGCAGGGTTTTATTGAACTTCTTTCATAATCAAAATGAAATTAATACTATTTAAGAAAATAATATTTTAGAAAAAAAATTCCAATCACTTGGAAAGTTTAAAGTCTTCACCTAAATGACTCTGAAGATAAACAAAAGTTCTAAAATGTAATTATAAACAATTTAGAATGTATTTTTTTAAATCTAAACATTATATATAGAAACTGAAGGAATGAGTCCAAAGCTGCAGTCAATGGAAAATTCATAGTATTAAATATTTGTGTTACAAAAAAGAGGAAAAATAACATAAATAAATCAAGCATTCATTTCAAGACATTAAGTTGAAAAAATAGAATATTTTAAAAGATAAAAGTACCACGAAGGAAATAGAACATGGAAATATATATACATTGAGTAATAAATCCAAGAGCTGGTTATTAAAAGAACAAGAAAGTCAATGAAAAACTTTGACAAAACTTATTAGCAAGAGAAAGGGTCCATTGTAATGGGGTGATACTTTGAAAACTACTAGTTTATTTTTATCTTTTTCTTTCTGAGCATATGACCTTAACCTAGCCCACTTGAAATATCTTTGCAGGGAGGAAGAAGAGATTAAGACTTTTTCCTGAAAGAATGCAAAAAGAGTAGATAAGGTAATAATCCACTTTAGACAAGTAAAATAGGATTTTCAGCAGCCTTGAGAGAATATATTCCAAATTCTTTTCATTCTCCCACTTTAGCACATTAACCATCTTACTTGGAAGACATAGCTGCTTGACTTTTCCCAATCCTTTTCCTCTTGTCCCCACAATTTATCATTAAGGCTTGAGTTTGAGTTAGACCTGCAGGTTGGCATCAGGGCGAATAGAATATGAAACAGAGGGAAGCCTGCCAATTTCTGGAACTGAGTCAGTAGGAGCAGAAGAGAAAAAAAGAAAGAGGAAAGTTTTGGCTCGGAGAGGGAGAAAGATGGGGGCAATAAAAAGGTAGGGGCAAGAGTAATAACAATGACAAAAAAGCTTTGCTTCCTCCTCCAATTAGGATTTTGAAATAGTTCACTTCTTGGGCAGTACTCCATCCTGAGATAACTAAGAGTAGGGTCACATCTACTTGGTGGAGCAAGCAGAGGGAGGCTGTGATATTTAGTTTTCTGAACTAAGTCTGGTTCTTATATGTTTAGATGGGGCCCAGAAATAGGTGAGAGGCTGGCGGTGGAGCTAGCTAGCAACAGCTGAGTGAGTAGCATAGCCAGTGTCACAGAGAGACAACGCGAGACAGGACCAAAAGAGAATCTTTGCCAGATTCCTGAAAGGTAACATCAGTAGGATCTCAGATGAGGCCAAGACAAGCCAGAAGCACCAGCAGGTGCAACACCTGAGGGAAAAGAAAGAGCCACAAGCTGCAGATCTTATCATTGGCTCTCAACAGGGTGCCTGGCCACCAGATGGAAAAGGATGAACATCACCCTGTAGATTAGAAGGAAAGGATACCATGATCATGAGCTCCAACTCATGACCACTGCATCACCTAAGGCCCCCTCCCTAATACACCTGAATGTCATCTTTTTAAATTTTCTTTTGAGACAGAGCCTTGGCCTGCCACCCAGGCTGGAGTGCAGTGTCATGATCTTGGCTCACTACAACCTCCCCTTCGTGGGTTCAAGCGATTCTGGCCTCTCAGCCTCCTGAGTAGCTGGGACTACAGGTGCACACCCTCGCACCCAGCTAATTTTTGTATCCTTTAGTAGAGACAGGGTTTCACCATGTTGGTCAGGCTAGTCTCGAACTCCTAACTTCAAGTGATCCACCTGCCTCTGCCTCGTGAAGTGCTGGGATTACAGGCGTGAGCCTCCGCGCTTGGCCTACCTGGATGGCATCTTAAAGTGAGATAAGATGGTAGGAGCAATCCAAGAGCCTGGGCATTTTTCCTCAGAAAGAACAAATATTGCCAGAAAGAGTCTCTTCAATTGTCACATCTAAGCTTTTGCCTGGATTGAATATTTGAACACACATACACACACAAACACACACACACAAAATCTTTCCCAGCACCTATGGCAGGCAACACAGTGGGAAATTAAACATGTGGGATTCTGGATTCTCCTGGCCTGGGTTTCACTCCAGGCTCCACAATGTGTTAACTCTGTGATTGTGGGCAACTTACTTAATCTTTTTGCCTTGATGTCCCCCTCTATAAAAATTAGGATAACAATAGTTTCTCTTAGTATTTTTTAAGGATTACATGAATTAAATGTAAAGTGCTTATACCCAACAACAAAGTCATGGAATCAACCTAAGTGTCCCTCAACAGAGGACTGGATAAAGAAAATGTGGCGTATATATACCACATACTACAACTCAGCCATGAAAAACAAGGATTTAATGTCTTTTGCAGCAACAGGGACGGAACTGGAGGCCATTCTCTTAAATGAAATGACTCAGAAACAGAAAGTCAAATACCACATGTTCTCATAAATAGGAGCTAAATAATGTGCACATATAGACACAGATTGTGGACTAATAAACACTGGAGACACAGAAAAGTGGGAGAGTGAGAATGAGGGGAGAGCTGAGAAATTATCCATTGGGTACAATGAGTACACCCTATTTGGGTGACGGTTGCACTAAAATGTTGACTTCACCACTAGGCAATATATCTATGTAACAAAAATGCACTTTACCCCCTAAACCTATTTTGAAAATTTTTAAAATTAAAAATGTCAAGTACTTAGATCAGTGTCTGGCCCATAAGAATAGTTGATTAAGTGTTGGCTGTCCTTATTCCTACAAGATCATTACCATGGGGCTCATGTGGGAAGATCAGACCAGCTCCAGAAAAATGAAGAAATTACAGTTTCTCTATACAACCAAGTAGTATGGTGGATTAAAACTTGTACCCCTGGCCGGGCGCGGTGGCTCAAGCCTGTAATCCCAGCACTTTGGGAGGCCGAGACGGGTGGATCACAAGGTCAGGAGATTGAGACCATCCTGGTGAACACAGTGAAACCCCGTCTCTACTAAAACTACAAAAACCTAGCTGGGCGAGGTGGCGGGCGCCTGTAGTCCCATCTACTCGGGAGGCTGAGGCAGGAGAATGGCGTGAACCCTGGAGACGGAGCTTGCAGTGAGCTGAGATCCGGCCACTGCACTCCAGCCTGGGCGACAGAGTGAGACTCCGTCTCAAAAAAAAAAAAAACTTGTACCCCTGCTCCATAAATAACCAAAATCATAAATGATAAAGGGGACAGAAAATAAATCAAAACATAAAGAGGCTTTTACAAACACAGAAGAATGGTATAAGTTTTAAAAAGCTTAATAAAATGGGCCATATTCAGAATTATGAGTTACCTATTTTAGCCCAAGAAGTATGCCAAGTAGAAAAGAAGTGTGTCAAAAGAAAGTGAAAAATTCATCAAAGAACTACCTCTAAAAACGACCTGAGATCAAATGCCATTTAATGAGTACATTCTTTCAAACGTTCGCAAAGGGTCAACCCTCGAATGTGTAATAGCCACAGGACTTGGGAAAACATTGAATGCTTCTCAGTTCATCGAGAAAGCTAGGTTACCTATAGTACACCAACCGGAATAGAAAAAACTATAGGACATTATTTTTCTCAAAAGCTTTTGTTACTCCAGGAGGTCCTAGTGCCTCTAATATGCTGTGAAATTCCAATGAGGGGGTGGCAGGCAGTGGTGTTCCTCACTTCAGGGTTTATTCCAAACACTTCCAGACCCTTCTTAGAGCCGTGCTAGAGCTGCCTGGAGTCATACCATCAGAAGATTAAGGTGGATCCAAGAGCCAAGAATATAGAGAAGCATACGCAGAGGAAAAGGGATTTGCAGGAGATAAAAAGAGGAAAAGAGACCGTATACAAGATTGCAATCATAATAGCAATGCTAAGGCAGGAAGCAGTACATTCTGCTTGTGAAAATGTAAATTGATTCAACCCTTCGAGGAAGCAACTGACAATGTGACTTGGAATCTAAAGAGTACAGACTCTTTGACTTAATAATCTCAACTCTTATCTGTCCATCCTGGGTAATGAACTTGAAATGAAGCTAAAGATTTACATACAAGGATGCACTTCATAGAATTACTGATGGCAAACAAAATAAAACAGAAACAAGAAGCAACCTAAATGTTAAAAATGGAAACTATTAAATAGATTATGGCACCTTCAGATAATAAGTTATGCAACAATCCGAAGCAATGCTTTTGTAGGGGGAGGGGAATGTAATGACAGGTATAGGTCTAGGATTTTTAGAAAAAAGTCAGAAGATAAACTACAATGTATAATCTCAGCTATATTTTTAAAATATATGTATATAGAAAAGACTACTGGAAGAAATACAGACCAAAACCAACCTGAATATGGTCTCTGAGAGGTAAGGACTCTGAATGAAAAACATTTTCTTTTATACAGTTCTATTTTCTAACTTTCTGCACCAAGCTGTATTACTTTTACAATCAGAAAACACACACACACACACACACACACACACACACACAATTACTGCCTATGAATAAATACACGTATGAATGATAAGAAAAAAATTTAAGCCTCCAATCACTAAGGACAAAATCATTTCTAGCACACAGAAGAAACCTGAATCTTAACACCGGTGCGTTTTAAAGCATAGAAAACAAAAAGCAAATCAACCAGATCCCTCCATAAAGACAGGCTGAGCTGCTTCTCTCGAAAGGTTGGCGGGGGCGGGGGGCGGCTTTCAACACACCATCGTCGAAAGGAAAACTCAGCACCCGTTTTTCAAATGCAGCTGTTGGAGGATCCCCCTTGATTCAAAGACCCTTCACATCAAGGCTTAGAGGGTTGAGGGAGTGTGAAGAGTGCCCCCACTCCCCGCGCCCTCTCCAAACACGCACACTCTCACACTCAATCGCGTGGTCCCAACCTGCCTGCTCCCAGCGAGTCCAAGCCAGTGCAACCGCGCCCCACGCTCGGCTCGCAGCCCCCGAGCCCCATTCCGCCAGCGCTGGGCGCCGCTGTACCTGTTCGTGGCGCGCGGTACCGCGGTCGCCGGGCTCCGGAGCGTCCTCAGCGCTGCGGGAGTGCCGTGAGTGGCCTCCTTGCTTTCCTCCACCAGGATCCTGCACAGCCGAGGAGAAAACTTAAGTTGTTACACCCCGCCGGGAGCCGTTGGCTGACAGGCTGGGAGTCGCGCTCATTGCCTGGCAGGGAGATCTCGCGCTCCCCGGCTCCCAGGTCAGGTCCGTAACCCGAGAGTTGGAAGAGCCTTAGGGCGGGAAGGAAGGGACAGCAAGGACCAGAATGGGGAGCCCGGGATCCTGATGGGGAACCCGACGGCTGGTCCCTCTCCACAGCTGCCTCGCCCACAGAGATGCGCGCTAGAGCCCCCGCAGCCCTGACCGGTCCTTCTGCTCCCCAGCGGCTGTCCACCGATCCGAGGGTCGCCTCCCTGCGACCCCCTCCCCCACTGCACTCTCAGGCCGTCGCCGCCCGTGGGCTGCTCCCTGCCGCAGGCCAAAAAGTCTCTGCGCCCGCGGGGAAGCGATGGGCGTCTTGGGGGCCCGGGGGCGCCAGGCGGGGCGCGCGGCGCTGGGACCGGCGGGCGGGTGGGTTACCTGGTGCGGGCGGGCGCGTCTGCCGGGCACCAGAGCAGGCGCAGCAGCAGCAGCAGCAGCAGGCTGGCGAGCAGGGCGAGCAGCGCGCCCCCCGGCCGCATCCTGAGCCACAGGCGCCGCCGCCACCGCTGCTGCCGGGGCGAAGCGCAGCCCGGGCGGCCCCGACTCGCCGCTCCCGCCGCCGCCGCCACCGCCGCCGTGGCCGCAGCCCCGAGCACCCACAGCGTTCACAGGCGGCGGCGAGGGGCGCCCCCAGCCCACCCGGCAGAGTCTCCGCGGCGGGCGGAGAAGAAGCCGCGTCCGGGCTCGCTCCGGGCTCCCGGCTCCGGCCCGCGGAGCGCCGCGATCGACTGGCAGATGACGATTCGCCGAGCTCGCCGCCTGTCCTCCCGGAGGCGCTCCGAGCTGCTGCGGGCTCCGGTCGCCGCTGCCACTGCTGCTGCCGCCGCCGCCGCGCGGGGTCACCTGAAGGTTGGGGCGCGGAAGCTCAACTCCGTGCTGATTGGGCTCCAACTTTTCTGCGCCCTCGCCTCGTCCCGAGTGCCCTCGTGTCCCCCAGAAGCCCACGCAGCCCACCCAGCCACAACACAACTCTGCCTGGGGAGAGAGGAGAGGAGAAAAGGGCCGCTTCAAAAACTTTCGAAACTGTGCAGTCGCTCGACTGCATCCTCCCACGCATGAATAAAGCTGGGGACTGGGGAATTGCTGGGTGGATCATGACCCAGAAGAGAAGCAGTAACCTGTGCTTACTTCAACCCAGATTCAGAGGGACAGCGAACTGGTATGAGGGGCTGGGAGACCTTTAGGTGTGAGCACATTACTACCCGCAGACCGATGTAGCCCCTGCCTGTGTTTGCAAATAGTTTTATTGGAAAACCTCCATGCCCATGGCTTTGTATTATCAGTGACTGCATATGGCTGTATGATTTAGGGCTGCCAGGGCAGAATTGAGTAGTGATGACAGAGGTGGCATAGCCCACAAGGCCTGAAATATTCACCATCTGAAGCTTTCCAGAAAAAGTCTGCATACTGCCCTTAAATAAGCAAGAGGCCATTAGCTTGAGGCTGTCTCTGTACGTTGAGTTCCCACCTAACAATGGAAACCTACATTAGGCTGTAATGAACAGGGGGCTACAGGCCAATCACAGGCAACCAACTCATTACACCAGGCCCCATAAGGTAGCCTGCATAGCTATAGCCAATCAGTTTCTCTATTGTGCTTCTGAGTTTGGCCTATCAGGCTTTGCTGCTCACACCGTGAGGTGGACCTCACTGGACCTCCTCTGGTTGTGAGTGCTGCCCAGTTCATGAATCCTTTGCTCAAATAAACTGTGGTAAATTTAATTTGTCTGATGTTTTTCTTTTAACACTGCTACGGGCTGAATGTTTGTGTCTCTACAAAATTCGTATGTTGAAACCCAAATCCCCAATCTAATGTGGTGGTATTTGGAGGTGGGGCCTTTAGTACCTGATTAGTTCATGGGGTGGAGACTTCCTGGTAGAATTAGTTCCCTCATAAGAGCAGGCGGCCAGGAATTTGCCTCCTCTCTCTCTGCTCTGTGCAGTGTAAAGACACAGCAAGAGGGCAGATTTCTGCCAAGCAGGAAGAGGACCCTCACCAGAACCTGACCATGCTGGCACACTGATCTTGAGCTTCTCACCCTCCAGAACCATGAAAAATAAATTTCTGTTCTTTCAGTCACCCAACCTATGGTATCCTTCTTATGGCAGGCAAAATGAAACCATGGTCTAGATCATATTGGTTAGTATCTCATTTACAAGTATCTCATCTGTTGCAGGAGAGTGATCCAATGACACTATGAAACAGACTGGCTCTCCAATTATTTATTTAGAAGTGGGTCTCAACTCTTTATGCCCTAAACTATCCTGACTGCCCAAGCCTCCACTTAGCCACTTCCCTAGGTTTTAATTCCATTGTGGTTATATGTGGGCTTATGAAACTATTCATTCTTACTTTGGTATAGTTATGAGATTTTTCCAAATGCAACCCTTGGATTCCACCATCTTGGGAGTACCTTGATAAGATCTTTTGAAATGACTTCAATTTTGAAAAGGCTTTAATGAGTTAACTTTCCCAAGCAACAAAAATATGATATTTCAACTGACATCTAGACACATATGGTCTTCACCTGAAAGAGGCCAAAGTGAGAGCCATTTGGGAGCAACCAGGCCAGACAGCTAAATAAAGCTGTCACCAAAGATTCTATCACAAGAAAACATATATCAGGGAAAGAGATACCAATGTCCCTAGTCTCTTTCTGCTAATTCTGGATTTACTCTAAAAACATCTGGTTGAACACAAAACAGAAGTTTGCACACAATAATTGATCAATAAATGTTTGGTCAATGAATAAAAACACATAAGAACTCGTGTTATTTTTAAAGAGAAAATGGAGCAATAAAACTAAAAATAAATGTGACTAGGAATATGATTTCCTTCTATAGCTCATCACTGCTGTTAATATATGTACTAATCAAGAATAAAAATCGTCTTCTACTTTTACATAAAACTAATATTTATAGGGATTCAGTTGCTTCATCTGAGTATGACATACAGTAATGCTATATTCAGGTAGTGATAGAATAATATTGTAATCTAATTCTACATATTTCAAAGTTTAAGCCGTTTGTTAAATAAGTAGAATATGGCACAATTATCTAGAAAATGAAGAGTTGCCTGGATTTGAAAGACATTCCAATTTTTATCTCAGTGCAGAAAACTGTGCAGAAAACTAATGCTGAACATGGTTTGCAGAAAAGGAAAAAGGCATTATTGTATCAGCCAGGAAGCTGCAATTTCACCTAATTTACTAAAGTTTAATATTTCAGCACAGCTGGGCTCAAGGCAACAGCAGAAGAGTCAGCCTTGCACTGGGTTCCCTAAACACCCTTACTGCAAATGAAGTTACTTTTTATCAAGCCAATGGCTATCAGCAGGGGACTCACAAAAGCCCATTTTAATTGGAAAACCAAGTGTAAATTTGCAATGGGAATTCTGAGCCCAGTGTTAAAATTTGACAGTAGGGAACTTTACCACAAGCTTTCTAATTTAAGACTTGGGTGGGTAAGATATGAATTAACTTGCTCATCCTTGAGAGAGAAAGAAACCTGACAAGAACAAGATACCTTAATATTATTAGCCATAGAACTACTACTGGAAAAGTGTGCATTTGGTAGCTTAACATTTGCAGGCTTGACTTGCAACCCTAAAGATCTATGCCATGTAGTAATTTGGAATGCTGCTGAGGACAGGAATTGAAACGTAAACTCAGGTTGACATCCAGACGCTGCTGCCAAGCTTGTGATAAGTGGCGAGCCCACCTCACTCACCCAGTCCACTCCACATCGGCCTCTCATCTGGTCTTTGTTATTCTTTATTCATCATCATAAATGTCCTTACCTTCATAAAATAACTTTTAAAAAATGATTGGGAAGTTTTGATATATAAAACATCTCCAGGCCTAAGGAAATCTTGAAAGCTGAAGTTTCTGATTTGGAGTGTAAGGTTTCTTATTCAGCTAACAAGTGACTTTCCACCAAAAAGATGATTCAGGGGAAAGCTAGAAACGTATAAGATTTCCGTAAGTGTGGATTTGGGGATTCAGAAAGATGAATCACAAATATCAAGTGTCTACTTGACATTTGATATATACTTAATATATATGTATATACACTATATACATAATATGCAATGTACAGAATATATACTGTGTATATACCTATTGTATATATAATATGTACTATACATATACATGCCATATAATAATTATGCATATGTAAATTGTTATATATTATGTGTAATATATTGTGTATATACATCATTATATATTATGTATATAATATAAATGTATAGAAACTATATATACACATATGTGTTTACATAGTATGTATAGTGACATCTATAATATATCTACATAATTTTTTCCTTATATTGAAGATTCTTACTGATATATAACAGTGAATAAGTGTACATAGATATGCTATATCTCTACAAAGATTATATGTATACATACACACACTATATAAACAAATATGTGTATATAGAATGCATATACATGTATACTATGTGTATACACACTGTATACATAGTAGATACAAATATATCTCACTGGTATATATGAACATCTTCAATATAAGGAAAAACAGGAATGCTGTGAGAAACACACAAAAAATTGATACACCAAAGACTCTTTTCTTCATTCGGGAGACATTTTTACCTCTCTGTTTAGAAAAGATGATTTCTGATGTTTCAGACTGCTTGATTGGTTTTTGTAACATTAAAGATTTGTGAGGACTACAGGACGATAGGTCATTTATAACATTAAATTATACCTTGGGAAGGACGTTTATAAGACTATGATAACCAAGATTACGTATTTTCAATAAATCATAGGATATAAATAAAAGTAGAAATGACTTGAAGAAATCAGTGACCTCAGTATCTCTCCAAATATGTCTTATTACAGATTTTTGCCCACTGTTAGTTGAATATTAAAGAATGGGGACCAGGCGCAGTGGCTCACACCTGTAATTCCAGCACTTTGGGAGGCTGAGGTGGGCAGATCGCTTGAGCCTAGGAGCTTGAGATCAACCTGGGCAATGTAGCAAAACTGCTTCTCTAAAAAAAAATCAAAATAAAAAAAAATTAGCAGGGCATGGTGGTGCACACCTGTGGTACCTGTGACTCCAGAGGTAGAGGTGGGAGGATCACTTGAGCCTGGGAGTTGGAGGTTGCAGTGAGCTGAGATGGCACCACTGCACTCCATCCTGGGTGAGGGAGTGAGGCTCTGTCTCAAAAAAAAAAAAAAAAAAAAGAAAGTAATTCTATGCATAAAGTAGTTTTAATTTAAAGAGTATAACTAAAACTACAGGACAAAATATAAGAATTATTATTCACTTTCTAAAACAGATTTTTAACATATAAACATTCAAATTTCCACAATTTCTCTCTTTGAAATGCACTTAAAACACTGTAAAGGACTAAAAGGGGAAATGCATGCTATTTATTCATATCTCAAGACTATAAAATGGCAACAATCCCATTTCACAAACTCCCTGCTGAAGGTGAACTAATGGCACAAGAATGCCAACTTCAAGACATGTCTGCTCTATTTGTGATCTTATATTTGTGGGAAACAAGTAGAAAAGTTGGTTGGGTGCGGTGGCTCACGCCTGTCATCCCAGCACTTTGGGAGGCCAAGGCAGGAGAATTGCTTGAGTCCAGGAGTTCAAGACAAGCCTGGGCAACATAGCAAGACCCTGTCTCTACAAAAAGCCTTTTTTTTTTAATTAGTCAAGCTTAGTGGCTCGTGCCTGCAGTTCCAGCTACTTGGCAGGCAGAAGTGGAAAGATCACTTGAGCCAGGGAAGCAGTGGTTGCAGTGAGCCAAGATCATGCCACTGCACTCCAACCTGAGTGACAAAGACCCTGTCTCTTGAAAACAAAAAACAAAAAACAAAAAACCGTAGAAAAGTTTTTAAGGCCTTACTAATTCTCAATTTGAAAGGGCAAAGGCTACGAATAGGCTACAGTTAAAACAAGTAGCGAGGGCCGGGCGCGGTGGCTCAGGCCTGTAATCCCAGCACTTTGGGAGGCCGAGACGGGCGGATCACAAAGTCAGGAGATCGAGAGCATCCTGGCTAACACGGTGAAACCCCGTCTCTACTAAACAATACAAAAATCTAGCCGGGCGAGGTGGCGGGCGCCTATAGTCCCAGCTACTCGGGAGGCTGAGGCAGGAGAATGGCGTGAACCCGAAAGGTGGAGCTTGCAGTGAGCTGAGATCCGGCCACTGCAC